GGGTACCCTAAGCAAGAACCAAAAAATTTTCTTAGACCTTGTAAATACCAAAGCCAAGAGACAACCACGCGGGCTTCGGCCGATTCTCCGATTCACCCGAGGCTCATGCCGCAAGGCCTCGGCAGATTCTCCAGTTCGCCCGAGGCCCACGCCGCAAGGCCTCGGATGAGCTACCAACTCTCCGCCTCGCCCGAGACCCCTCGCCCGAGGCCCCACCCGAAAGGCCTTGGGCGAGGTACCGATTCTCCGTCTCGCTCGACGCCGGCTCGGCATCAGTCCCGCCGTAGCTTTGACCGACCACCCTAACAGAGTGTCACACTCAACCAATGCGTCCAACCACTCCCGCAACGTCGGCCACACTACGGCGCGGTACAGCGGAGTGGCCGACGGGACGGGAGTCACATCGGCATCATGCAGTCTGGGATAGGACGGAGCAGGGGTTATTAGCCGCTGTACCCGACGCTGTGCCCACGACTGACACCCATGCGTCACTGTGCTAGCTAACCCCACCTGCTCCGACGACAGTGTGGCGTGGAGAGTCATGTCCAGGCCCCTGTAGCCTCGGAATCAGCATAAAAAACCAACTTCTCCCTCCGAGCCTCGGCAAATCGCTTCCTCGCTCCCGTAGTCTCGGGACTCACGCTTGCCGAGCCCCCCATGACGGCCCGGCCTCTGCATCAATGGGCCTCGGCTCTCTACGTTGTCAACACTCTGGCAGCGGCACGTCGCCCGCGGAACGCGCCATACCCTACGTCAGGCTGCAGGAGCTCCCACGTCGCGTACAGGGCTGAGCTCCTGTATCCTCGGAGTCAGCACACCCGCGGCATCGCATCAACCCGGCCTCGGCACTTCGCGCCGGTCCAACGTACAGCAACCGGCACGTTTCCAACGCACCTGCCACCACAGGAGCTCCCACGTCGCACAGGGCCAGGCGTGACCGGCGCGTCGCTCCAGAGTACCAAGGACAAGACCACTCCATCAACCATACCGCTGCAGTAGCGAGCTACAGGGCTCGGCACGCCGCCTCCGCTCACACAACGCACCACGTAGCAAACGCATGTACTGCCCCTGTCCTCTCCTTCAACTATAAAAGGGGGCGGCCGGGGCCGTTTCTAGGACAAGAGGAGAGACACCCGACGAGCACACACACTCACGGAGACATCGCTCAGATAGACACACGTGCAAGCAACGAACAACACTCTGTAATACACACGCTCCTCACTGCGAGAGATCAACATCTCAAGCAACCCACGCCGCTCCACGCAGAGACCTGGGACTAACCCCCTCTCTCGCCCTGCTTGTAAACCCCTACTACAAGCACTTCGGTGCAAGGAATACAAGATCGCTCTCTCAGACTGGACGTAGGGCACCTATCGCCTGAACCAGTATAAACCTTGTGTCTCTTTGCATCACCATCCGGGATAGGGACACACAGTACGTTTTCACTTGTTGGTTGAGGACCCGCCGGTCCAAAACACCGACAATGTGCTTTCAGCATGGCATCTGCTTGCTGCTTGGACGAATGGGAGGCTCGTCAACGCGGAGCTCAAAGCCACAGAGTGGCGTGGAGGTCGCCGGTGTGGAGCTCGGCGGCGACACGAATCTCAGCAGGGGCAGGCGGATGGAGCACCGCCGCGATGGGAGGCACGAGTCCGGGAGCGAGCTAACGAGCGCCTAGCACGTCGGGCTCGCCGTGCGTGGCACGGGCGGGCGACAGGGGTGCGGGCGGGGGCGGCACTGGCGACGAGGACGGGATCCGTACCGCGAGTAGAGCGAGCGGGCGACGACGACGTGGACGAGTGCAGGTCCATCCGGATAGACATACGCCCTACAAGGAGATGCCCTAGGGTTTCCAAAAGTTAAAAGGTCTTGTCTGTACGTTTGTCCAGTAATTACTACTCCCTCCGTCCCAGAACAAGTGATGTTCTAGGATTTTTTAGACAGATTACTGGAGAAGAGAAATGTTCTTAATACCCTTAATATGTCACACATAATTTCCTTAAAAGAAGGGATGTCGCGCGGTTTACTTCATAATTAAGATACGATGCATCCAAGCATGCAGAGATCCGAGGCATGCAACAATCAGTAGCGCATCTCAATTGGTAATTTGACGTCGGATTTGTGGGCCAACATGTCTAAAACTCATAACGTCATTTTTTTTTATAAATTTTAAATCACAGAACATCACTTTTTTTTGAACGGAGGGAGTACCATTCTGATGCAAATGTTGGACTAGCTTTTAAGTGCTATATACAATAAGATATGGAGCCTACACTTCAAAAAAAAATGTACGAGGTCTAGAGTAAATATGACACGTGTCATTTTGTTTTATCCTTATATACCATCATGAAGTCGGTAAAATATGAGTTTAGTGTTCACGTGAGTAGATCAACCGTGCGAAATAGATCCGGTCATATTCACACCCCAGGCTGGGCCTGGTTCAGATCGGGCCAGAAGAAACCCGACGCTTTTTTTTCCCATGACCCGTGCCCGACCCGACCCAGCATCATCATTCCCGATCTTTACCTCATGCATGTCCTCATTGATGAAAAAAAAACTGCTCCTGGCGGATGTGAGACGCCTGGACTTTAGTCGGTGTAAAAATCAGGCATTCTAGTCCAAGTAATTCAGACTTCAGTTGTAAAAATCAGGTATTCTAGTCCAGGTAATTCAAGATTGTCTAGGGCATCTACGGCGACTAGGGAAAGCAACTCACGTCACTTTCCTCCCAGTCCCAGGTGATGACACGAAATTCTCTCGCCTTTCAGCTTTGAGACGCAACTGCAAGGCATCTCTTCGTCGTCTCGCACCAAAAGTTGCACCAGCAGATGGATGTGATGCAGACGCTGAGACGCAGGACGTTTCTCTGAAATTTTTGGGTATTGATCGCCTGCACTCCACTTCGAAAAGATGTAGGAGAACAAGTGAAATCTCACTAGTGGTTACAGAAAAAAAGAAGAAGACGGGAGAACGGCGATGGGTATCTTCATTGCAAATGCTTTAGCAGTTGCACAGTGCCAACGAGGTAAGAGCATGACAACGGGAAACAGAAACAGCGTAAAAAATAAAAACCGGATCAATTGAACTTGCGCGGAATAAACAGTCAGGCCACCCTGTTGGAACAAAGGAATTTCACTGAAAGGCATTCTGCAAGAATTACAGCGTAATTCATGGGGAAGAAAAATCCAGTGTTTAACAGGAAATCGAAAAGAAATGACAGCTCCAACTTAATCAAAATTGTGTTACCACAGCACCAGAATGAGCTAAACAATAGCTCATCCTCCTAGGATAAGTTCATTCTTTTTCCTAGGATAAGTTCATCCTCCTAGGAAAAAGAATGCGCCAAAATAATCCTCAAAGGGGGGAAAATAAACAAATTCCAATGGGGCTGAACTAGTGGACAGGTATATTTGGAGCACCAGAAAGCCTAGTTAGCAGTTACTTTTCACAAAAATGGTCCAAACCTAAATGAAAGGGATTCAGGAGGGGTTAAGACTCAAGTAGAGGTTAGCAAGTTTGACAAGCAAGCTGAGCATCTTCGGAAAGCAAAAGATGTGATAAAAAGGCAGTGAATACAAACTAGGATAAAGTTGACAAGGAAATCTAGACCAATATATATATGCTCAAAAGTTTGATTGGATGCGCGCTGTATGGCCCCTGAGGATGCAATTATTGCATGTTGTATGGAACATAAGAATATTTCTGTTATGGTGCGTGCAAAACAAACTCTACTCCTAGATGTGTTCTTTGAGTGGATTGGTGATTGACTGACAGGCATCACCAAAGATTGTGACCTAAGCGCCCCAGGCTTGAGATACAGACAAGGGGACAATAACAAAAATGAGGCCTCGTTTAGATTGCAAATTTTTGTAATCCGAACACTGTAGCACGTTTCGTTTGTATTTAACAAACTTTGTCTGATTATGAACTAACTAGGCTCAAAAGATTCATCTCGTGATTTACAACCAAACTATACAATTAATTATTTTTTTTACCTACATTTAATACTCCATGCATGTTTCCAAAAATTGATGTGAGAGAGAGTGAAAAAATTTGGAATTTTGATGGGATCTAAGGCCTTGTTTAGATCACCTCCAAATTCCAAGTTTTTTCACTCTCTCTCTATCACATCAATTTTTAGACGCATGCATAGAGCATTAAATGTAGGTAAAAAAAATAACTAATTACACAGTTTGGTTGTAAATCATGAGATGGATCTTTTGAGCCTAGTTAGTCCATGATCGGACAAAGTTTGTCAAATACAAACGAAACGTACAACCGTGTTCAGGTTACAAAAATTTGTAATCTAAACCAGACCTAAACAAGGCCTGAAACTTGATTGAATAAACCAGTGACGTCTTACCCTCCAAATCACAACACAACTATGTCCATCCATCCATCCATTCAGTGCAGCAGATGCATGATTAAACCTGCTACACAAGTAGCACCAAACACACTAGTACAAATCATATATGCATCTCTGTCTCTAAGATGATGCCATGAGATTGAAAATTCGCTGAGGGACTCCAGGCTGCATTGAGCGCTACAGAGTCAGACTCAGTACCAAAACCATTTGCTACCGAAAATCTCTAGTTGCAAAGACCACTCTTGATCTCACATGAAACCACAACCACCTCACCAAACAGATCTACGGTTTCTTATAAAATATGATCAACGGACTGCGCAGTGGAATTTCATGCTGAAAATGTTACCAAGCGCCCCAATTGCAACAGCCTAATCACTAATGGTTCATAAGCAAGAGTTGAACTGTATGCTACAAATGTTTTGGAGAAACTACTGACAAAGTGCACAATCAGATGAGAAGTTTCGAGAGAGAATTAGCGGCAAAGGCGGATCCACAGGCATTATTATTACTCTAATAACTGCTCTGTTTATCACCATCATCATCTCGCGTGATATAAATATTGATATTAGTAGTAGAAACGGAAACAGGCGAATCAGCAAAAACAGTCGAGACATGGATGGGATATATAAATTTACTATACAAGCACGAGGACGCGGTCCGTGCCACCGCAGACAGCGGCCGCATCGCCGTCGCCGTCGTCGGGGCCGGCGCCCTTGGGGACGGTGACGACGAGCTCGCCCTGGGCGTAGGTGGCGGTGGCCATGGCGGGGCGCGTGCAGGGCGGGAGGCGGAAGCGCCAGCGGTCGAGCTCGAAGGCGGCGGCGGCCCCGTCGTCGTCGTCGCCGTCGCCGTGAGGGCCGCCGTGGGAGGAGGAGAGGCCCCGGACGACGACCTTGGTGACCCCCGGGTGGATCTCGACGGCGTGCGCGCGGGCGCCGCCCGCGGGGGAGAACCCGTCGACGACGGCGGCGACGAACCGCAGCGCGGCCGCGTCCTCCTCCACGGACACGTCCGCGTCGGCCGCGAAGGGCAGCTCCAGCACCTTGGCGAAGATGTGCGGCAGGCGGCGCAGCTTCTTCCCGCCTAGCGCGCCCGCCGCCGCCGTGGCGCAGCGCTGCACGGCGATGGTGCGCTTCCGCGGGGCCGGGTGGACCCTCATGGCGTCGGGGGCGCCGGAAGAGGACGGCGGCAAACGCTAGTGGCGGACGCGCGCGCGGTAGGGAGGGGACGGGCGGATCGAGTGGGCGCCTCGGAACTCGCGCTCGTGGGGTGCGGGGTGCGGGGCGCGGAGGTCCGTCCGTGCTCGTCTGGTTCTGGGGCTTCTAGCGCTTGCGGGGGTGCGTTGGGGAATAATTGGAGGAGAACCGGAGGCGGAGGCGGAGGCGGAGGCGGAGAAAGGAAATCGGAAGCGCTGGGGTCTGTGGAAAGGCAACCAACCTATTTAAATTTCAAAACTACCAATGAGACCACTAATTCTGATTCAATAGATGAGACGTCTTTTTCCGCTTAAACCTCCCATCCGCTCAACTTTTTTTTTTTATGCTTATACATCAGCATCTAGTCCAAAATTTTTCAGTTTTGTTACATCGAATCTCAAGCATATATTAATTAAATATTTAATTGTACAACAGTTGGGTGAGAAATCGCGAGACAAAACTTTCGAACCTAATTAGTTCATAATTAGACATTAATTATCAAATACAAATAAAAATACTACGGTAGCCAAACAGTACCCAAACCTAAAAAATTTTGAAAAGTAAACGTGCCCTCAATAGATGAGACGAGAGGTTGGATCTTTTTCCGCTTAAACCTCCCATCCGCTGAACTTTTTTTTTTTATGCGCCTCTCACTCAAACCATTGGAGCCTAGATCGTTTTTTTTTTTTTTTTGTAATAAAAAAGGTGGAGCCTGATTTTGTTTTGGCTTTTTTTTTTTTTTGCTTGTAATATAAAGGTGGAAGCCTCTTGATAGGGATTAGGATTTGGAGAGTTGATTAATGAAACGGGATTAGGATCAGGACCAGGATTAGGATTAGGCTTACGCTTGTATCGCTGTTATTCGGTTGAATCGAACCGTTTGCATCTACGACCTGGATGCAAGGACTAGGTACGGATAAGTAGATAAGCTTCGCCGGATCACGACATGGGAGAGAGGCGGTTGCGCACAGTGGCTGCCGATATTTTGGCCGGCCGTACAGGTCATCTGCCGCCATGGGCCCGGACGGGTCGAGTCCGGTTCTTATGGTCCAACCAGGGCGAGGGCACCGGATGTTAAAAAGAAGTTTTGTTTCTCGGCTGTAATCGGTCCGTAGTGTCTCGTGGCCTAATTTTAACAAACTATCAACAAATTAGAGTGTTTTCTAGCAAAATACTCTAAAATGGTTCTCCGTCACCAAATGACTATCACTATAGATGTCCAACAGACAATTATCCAGTATAGGGGATTTTAGGATTAGCATTTACATGCAAGGCTGTCAGTAGAGCATCTCCAATAATTTGGTAAAATCAGTTAGAGCAGCTCTTAAAGTCTCTCTATATCCTTTCTAATTAAAAATAAATATTTTGGTAAAAAATACACTCGAACAACTTCTTTAATTGAGCAAGATACGGAAAAGATGTTAGAGAATAGAAAGATATAGAAAACGATTTTTATTAAAAAATGGCCCTTCAAATGATAATTTAGAGAGTGTGTTTTAGAAAACTCGTGGAAATACTCTTACCATCTTAAATTTTTGACAGGATAAAAGGATATTTCTCCAACAATTCACTACCCTAGCTCCATATGTGAATGGAAAAAATAGAGGCATCCACACGTAAAGATATATGGATGACCGCTACTCCCAGTTGATTTTTTTTCGATACTTCACCATTGCATGGAGTGGAGGTTCACTAGAATTGAATCTCTGGACATTGTATTTTTAGATCCAAAAATGCTAAGAAGTAGAGCAGGCAATGAAGATTTTGTTTTGTAGGTTTCTCACTTCGACCTAGGGGTTCATCAAAATTAGATCTTGGACTACTATTTTTAGATACGAGAATAGTAGAACGAACAATGGATATTTCACTTTGGAGGTTCTGGGAGTGAGGTAGGTGCAAGGGATGGTCATCTGTGGGATGGATGGTGGTGGCGGTGGCGTGGCAATGGCCGGCGATAGAAAATCTTCAATGAGCCTACTTTTTTTTTGAACAAATTATTGAGAGATATTGATGATGAAGATGCTTTTTTCCTTTTCAACATTTATTAGAAAGATTGAAAAATATTTTTTAGATTATTTTTTGGGTGATGCTCTTAAAGTCAACTAACTCAAATATGGTAATCACGATATCTCCCAATGATTACATGTGTTGTTTGCTAGACCTTCATAATATTGTCTTCGAATTCCTAAGGTAGCAAGATGGAGGGAGTACAAAATGAGGAAGATACTAGATCCTTGAAAAGGGTAAATAATTAACTCATGCTTGCTTACACCTACACAATGGGATCCTATCTCTTGACCAATGGTACACGCCAAAAGATTGATTCTAAAAGATCAAATTTCTTTTGATAGGGAGCTAAATATAAATTTAGATATCATATGGCTAAGTGGAAAATAGTTTGTTTGGATCCAGTCCCTATCACATCGAATGTTTGGATGTCTAGGAGAACTAAACATGAGGTAATTATAAAACTAATTGCATAAGCCGTGACTAATTCGCGAGGCAAATTTATTAAGCCTAATTAATCCATCATCACATTCGCTAATTGTAGACTAATTAAGCTTAATAGATTCGTCCTGCAAATTAGATGACTTATGAAGTTAGTTTTATAATTAGTCTAAATTTAATACTCTTGATTAGTATTCAAACATATGATGTGACATGGACTAAATTTTAGTCACATGTATCCAAACACCCCCTTACTAGACCTAAAGACCAATGAGGTTTAGGAGTGATTAATCCTATACTTTTATAAAGCTAAACCTCACTAGAGATTTCTCTCAACAATCAATCTAGCCACATCAACAATCCACTATAACTTGCAATTATAGCCAACTAGCACATGTAATTATGATAATTATCTCTTCATCCACTAATATGCATTTAGCTGTTCCACATCAATGTGTCAAACTATTCAACAAAATTAATTTAAGATAGTTTCATTCATATAACTATAAAAGATAAATAGTCTAATTTTTTTTAAATTATCTAGTATCCCCACAGCAACGCGTGGAGTATTCTCCTAGTTCTAAGAAAACGAATGAGTGTTTTCTTATTAAATGGATTTAGAAATTGTGAATGAATCAGAAGACACTTGGTAAAAAATTCTCCACGCTAAATATATGCCGCATGGGAACTTTTCGCTTCCAAACTAACACAAAGGCACGTCCCAGTTCTGGCAAGGTCTACACAAAATTAAGCATCTGTTCAAATGAGGAACTATATTCAAGGTGAAGGATCGAACCAAAACCTTTTTCTGGAATGATGATTGGATTTATATTGTCCCTTCAAAAATTAAAATTAAATTCTACGAATTATTTAGAATTTGTGACATCATCAAGCTATATGGTGGTGGTGGCTGGTATTCCGAACTTGAGATTCAGATCTTTGACTACTGATGAATAGTTAGGTTGGGAAAAACTGCTCTCTAAACTCGGAAGCTACCAGCTTGAGTTAGGATCTCATAATATTGCTGGCTTGAAGCTGGAACAGTAAAAATGTTTACTACCAGATCATCAGTAAAATATATCCCTGTATTTGGAAAGTACACTTCCAATGGAAATAAATGTGTTTTTGTGGTAAACCTTGAACAACAAATAAACTGCAAGCAGCAACTGTGCTTGTTAAGAGAGGATGGAAAAGGGAACACCAAATGTTGCCTATGTGGAGAACCAGAAAATATTATCATATTTTTTTTTCAGATGCCACTAATTAATTAGCAAGACTAGCATGGTGCATCCTCAGAGCTGGCTTCATGGCAAGTTGGCTATCGTGGAAGCTGTATTTCCCACAACATATATATCTAATGGTTTCACGGTGATTCTAGTGGCTTTTCTTTTGCCTCCCTTCTCCTCTAACAATTATATTTTATTTGTTTATAGTTCTTTTTGTGCAAAAATTAAAATAAGTTGATTTTTAGTGGTTCTTCGACCACAAAAAAAAAATTATAACCATATTTTTATTTATATGATTTTCTAAAATAATATATTTTTGTGAATTAGAATCTAGCCTACCAGCTAAACGATCTTACCAAGTGATTCTACTTTATCATCTCTGACGTTTTTTTGAGAGAATCTAAAATCGAATGTTTCTATGAAAAAATCTAAATCCATACCAAACGTACCATTAGACTCGACTCAAGCTTGGCTCAAATCGCAAACAAGCCAAGCTTGAGCCTAACTAGGCTCTAGTGGTTGTAAGGCTTAGGTGCTGTTTGGTTTCAAGAAAGGCAAAGGCAACGCAAAGGAAGTGGATATCGGCGTTAATGGGAAAGGAAGCTGTGATTACGTTGTTCCGTTTGGTTGAGCGGCTACATACCAAATCTTTGCCGTGATCTGTTACCGCCCACGATCAAGCGCAATCGGATTCCTGAAGGCTCGGGTCCGTTGCCCCGGCACGAGATTACATCGCGTATCCTACAAACGAAAACTAACGGGAGTGATTTGCGGTGTTATCTGATCATGCCAATAAATGGCTGAACCAAACAGCTCGTTAGAACGGCTTATTTGCAGGCTTGCAGCCATAAATGAAATATCAAAGTTATATATAAAACATTTTTTATGTAAGCGCGTATATATAGACAGTACCAAAAGATATGCCAGCTTTATTAGTTGACCTCAATCTCATATGGAATCATGGTCGGGTTTAGCTTGGAGTTCGAAACGTGAGAAATAAAGATTGCATGAGGTGAAAGAGAAAGTGATGGAGAGAGAAAAAAGGCAAAAGAAGAAACAAAGGGAAGTGGTGCATGCCGAGAGAGAGGAGATAGGATCGTAGGATAAGAAAGCGCACACGTTAAGATGTGACGTGTGCTCCATTTGCATTGCCCTCGGCCAATACACGTCACACTACTACTACCCCGAGTGGTGGCGGGCAACCACAGTCCACAACCACAACATGGCCCCACGTGCTAGAGACAGCCAACATGGCCCTAGACATTGGACACAGCCACGCCAGTGGTACC